GGCAATTATCTATGGAAGAAATATAAGCCAGACACGAGGAGGGTTAGAAGGACACTAGGAGTGGATTCAAAGTTCTGCATTTTCTTTTACAGCATTCTTTCCCATTTGGACTACAAGATGTCAGTTAAGGTCCTTAGGACTGATCTCACAAGGGAGAAATACTTGGTTCTGCTACACATTTACCTTGTGAATCCATGCACACGGCTCTACAGAGATTTGCTCTGGCACTAGGCACAGGATTGTCTTTGGAACACAACTCAGGAATCCTAATGTGGCTCTCAAACTTGGTTTATATGAACTCTGAAAGTGTGGAAAATAAGCATGATGCCCCGAACTGTAAACATCTGAACTGCAACCTTAAATTTAAAAAGTTGCCATGCTGAGGGATATGCTGCTCACTATTCATGTAAAAAAAAAATCAGTGGGTTGCATTGACACTTCTCTAGTCATTCCCTATAGCCGTGGTTCTCAACTTGTGGGTCCCCAGGTGTTTTGGCCTACAACTCCCAGAAATCCTAGCCAGTTTACCAGCTGTTTTCTGGGAGTTGAAGGCCAAAAACATCTGGGGACCCCAGGTTGAGAACCACTGCCCTATAGTGTATGTTATTTGTGTTCTCTAGGGACCTCTGAAATGGGAAATTGACACATGTTATCTGGGGAGGAACATGTTCAATAGGATGCTCAGTAATCTGTCATCTCTTCTTCTACTCCCTTGAACAGTTAAACATGAAAAATTAAATTTCACAGAACAAGACCAGATCCCTGAAAAACACTTTAGACTCATATTGGTCAACAGACAGAAGACCTTGCAGAGATCCATTTTTCAATTTTGGATGATGGGAGCTGATAATTAGTCTGTCTGACTTACCAGATGCATCAATTTAGGCTAGTAGAGTCTATGCCCACCATATCTGTCCAGAACTGATTTAGACCAGACAGATGTACCAGATGTACCCCATTATCACTTAGCAGACTATTTCTGTTCTGTTGCTCTTTGTTTTCAGCCCAACCAGTGGCCTCTGCCTGTGGCCTTGGCTGGCAGTGAGTGTGTGTATGTGATGTTTTGGCAGCGTCAAAGATATCAGGGTCAATGTCTTCGTCATATCCTTTAGTTCTGATCTCAGTTCAGCCTTCAGGTCTTTTTATAATTTACTTCTCAAATTTGTCCCTAGTTGGCCCATGTCATCTCATCTCATCTCTCAGTTGGTCTCCTATTTGCCTGATCTCTTCCAAGATCAGTTGATTTGCCTCACTTTGTTTGAGCCCACCAAAATTCATTGTGCCTGACTTGGAGTGCATCCACACTATAGAATGAATGCAATTTGACACCAGTTTTACTAACATGGGTCAATACTATGGCATCATGGATTTTGCAGTTTGGCAAGCTCTTCTGTCAGAGTGCTGTGCCTCATCAAATTGCAACTCCCAGGATCCCATAGCCTTGAACTATGGCAGTTACAGTAGAGTCAACCTGCATTCATTCTGCGGTGTGGGTGCCTTAGTGGTTGCCGTCAAGTCTTTGTTCTTATAGAGAAAGCCAAACTGATAGCTCTGGAATAACTATCAAGTCTCACATATAAAAGGACTCAATTTCTCATTTTGTTTTTTCTTCTTGGTGAGAAGGAACCACTATAGTTCACTCTCTTTATTTCACTTGCTTTCACCTGTTTTTTTACAAGATGTAAGCCTTCATTCATTCCTTCTGGCTTGCAAGATGATCAAGGCTTGTTTTGTCAAAGTAAGCGATAGAACTTCCCCTGGTTTTTTTTTTGTTTAAATTTCTTTGTTTTCATTTCTTTGTTTACATTTTAAAAGAATATTCCCATAAGTATGTTTAAAACTTACTAAAAGTTAATTTCAGGAAAATAGAGTTCACAATTTTGTTTATTTGTTCTTTTTATGATTTTTATTTATCATTCAGGTAGTTCATTTTTCAGTCTCTTTATCATGCCGTTAAGTTTCCAATTTAAATCAGAAGTTGTTTTATTCATGGTTGCTCTGTAGAAGTGGAGAAGCAGGAATAACCATGTCCTCATTCTCTGGCAAACTTCTTACACTTCATGAAGCAGTGCATTAGATAAAGAAAGTTGGCACTATGGCATTTAAACCCCCTGTCAGGCAGGGTGCCTGTGGTATGGCAGGGACAGATTCCCACTTCTGCTCTCTCTATCTATGATTTCATGCCACTACAATGTCTCTTTGGACTTCATCACATGGAGGTCCCAAACATGGGCAACAACAGGGGGATTTGCCAGGAAGCATGGCAAATCTGTGGGACAGCAGGGGAAATAATCACCCTGCATCCCACATCGTCTGCTTGCTGCTTTCCCTGACACAGAGGGGAAAGCATTGCTGCCCTGCTTCCCCCAATGCTGACCACATTCTAAGCAATGAGAACATGGGAAGCCTCTTGTGTTCTCTGGATTCTGTCCTAGGATGCTTCCAGGGTGGAACCAGGACAGAGCCCTGCTGGATGTAGCCCTGTGTCATGTGAAGGGCTCTGACGGTCTCCATCCTGGAAGAGTATAAGAGCGGATCAAGAAGGCAATGTGATTAGATTTTATAGCTGCCTGGACTCAGATTTTGAAACTTGTGTTGCCCTTCCAAGTTGCCTGTATCTAGGAGACCCAAAATTTGCTGTATTCAGTTCTGATAGCTCTCATGAGCTCCTTAGGTGACTGTGTGGCAGAACACAATTTTATCCCTGAATAGGATTTTCAGCATTCTACTGGGGGCTGTGTTGGAGGGCTGCTTCACTTAATGGAACAAACATGTAATATGAATATATTTTCCACACTGATACTACAGACCTTCAAACTAAACAAATACATGAGCTGTTTTAAAAAGTTTGGCTGAGATCCTGGAGCAGAAGTCATATGTCGGACATATGCCAGAGTTACTCCCCCAATATCCACCTTTTCAGTATTGAAGCCCCGCTAAATGCAGCCATATCTGTATTGTGGGATAAGGGTGGTCAGTATTTCATGTACTGTACCTGGATGTATTGCAACAGGCATCTTCAGGGACTTTTATGGGAATTGTCTTTGCCACATGTCAGGCTACAGGCAAATAGCTTGATGTGTGTCTCATATTCCCCAATAATGTGGAAATAGCTGTGTTGGAGGGCTGCTTCACTTAATCAATGGAATTTGAGATCTTGTGTTGTTAGTAGAGATACCTCTACAGTATCCAAAGAAGTGAATTAGGATGGTGTAAATTGGAGTTAAACTCACTAACAGGGGAGGTAGCCTATGTGTTTATTCTGAAAAAATACCTGTTTCTACTGAATGATAACTAGGTAGGATCTGATCTTACAGGGCTCAAATATGAGATTTAGAGACGGTTCCTGGTGATGCTATTGAGAATGATATACAAGCAGTCTTCAAGTTGTGAACAAGATAGGTTCTGTAGGTTTGTTCTTAAGTTGAAGTTGTTTGTAAGTCAGGACAGATACATTTTTAAAGTGTAACTCCAGCCAAATATATCATAGTTATAGGCAGGCATGTAGCCGGGGGGGGGGGGGACTCGGGGGGCTTCAGCCCCCCCCCGAAATTCTCATGGTGGTTCGCGAAAAGGCCTTATGGGTGCATTACTTAAACTTTTATGTTTATTCATATCATGATCTGATCACCATACTCAATATATCCCATATGCATGGGGGCATTGGGGTAATGATACAAAAGGTTTGCTAGGGTAGACCCTCTTTCACTCAGACTCAGCCCCCCCCCAAAACTCAGCCCCCCAACCCCCCCCTGAAAAAATTCAGCCCCCCCCCCCCCGAAACGAAATCCTGGCTATGGGCCTGATTATAAGCTATCTAATCCAATCCCTCTGCAATGCCAAAAATACAGCTTAATGGTGTAACATTAGAAAATGTTGACTACCTCCTCCAACTTGACAGCCACTTCACAAAAGTCAACACTGAAACTAAAATACAACACTGTATGAGCTCTGCGAGTGCAGCATTTTTGAATGAAACGGAGGGTGTTTGAGGATCGGGACTTTCATAGGGATACCAAGATGTTTATTTATAAAGCTATTGTTTTCCCAACCCTGTTATCCACCTGTGAAATGTGAATCATCTACAGACATCACACTCAACTTCTGGAATTATTCCATCAGCATTGCCTCCAAAAAAAAAAAAATCCTGCAAATCTCTCGGGTACACAGTTGGACAAATGTCAGCATTCTACCGGGGCTAAAGGTGGTTTACAGGTTAAAAGGATTACAATTAAAAACATACAAAAAGTCTTGAAAACCAAATTAAACTATTGGCTATATTAAATGTGTACAGTATACAGCACAGGTTAAAAACAATACAGCATGGCAGTGCTTTGTTAAAAGCCTTCAGCTCCCAAAGTCTAGCTAAGTTTTAAAAAACTTTGCTTGTCGGCAGAAGGATAGCAAAGAAAGGGCCATTCTAGCTGGACAGGTTCATATTAGGAGATAATCTGTCAGATAACCTGGACCTAAAGCTATCTTCCCGTCTATTACATCCTGCTTGAATGGCTGTGAATAATGTTAGATAAGAGAGGAGCCTTTATGGAAACAGCTTTTTAAAAGGAGTGATGGAATGGCTTTAGTTCCCATCTTATCTTCCTTATCTGCTGTCTGCAAAAAAGAGGATGCTGGCACAACTCATCCAGAATGCTCTAGGTTGAGAATAGTTTCACTTTGCTTGAATATGGAAGCTCGAATTATTTTGATCATTACGGGTTGGTAGTACCACTTCTCCTAATGTGTAAGATGAATATATTTTCAGGCATATAAAAATGGATACTCCAACTTCTCTTAGTAGCGAGTAGCTTTAAAATGAAACATGGGTCAGGCAGGTTTGTGCTCTTCCTGGCTTCTGGAGAAATATTGTTAGGCGCACCATGGCTCTATTCAAAAAGAACATTTTATTTAAAATCATTATTGAATCTGTGTGTTTGAGGTCTTGTTGTCCTAATGTGTACATGGGTATGCTATTCATCTGTGTCTTGTGTACCTTCCTCTAGGAATGTCCCAGTGGGGTTGTTAATGAAGAGACTTTCAAAGAGATTTACTCTCAGTTCTTCCCACAGGGAGGTAAGTACTCCACAGATAATTAGTCTTGTTTACAGGCACAACCAATTGCTTGTAATTGCTTTGAAATTTGGCCTATGCAGGTGGTTGTTGTAGTTAATTAAATCTCTTCTTTGAATAGGTGGTCAGCAGTTTCTGGCTTTAATTAAAGACTTGAGCACATCTGCTATTATCAATAGTTATATATAAAAGCAGCATCTTTGTATAGGCTTGTAGCCCACTTCATCCCCAAACCTTGGTGTAAGTAGCAAAAAAAAACACACAGTTAAAGTGGCAATTCTCTACATTCTTCCTCGGTTAATCCTGAGAACCAAAGGCCCATTCAAACAGTTAGCAACCAGGATCCTAGAACAGCTTGCTATAAGTTTTTCGGGCTGTATGGCCATGTTCCAGAAGCATTCTCTCCTGACGTTTCGCCTGCATCTATGGCAGGCATCCTCAGAGATTGTGTGATTCGATAATACATAGATCGTAGAATATTTTGGAAGAGTGCTCAAGTTTCTATAAATTTAGCAGGAGGAAGAGACTAAAATCAGCATGTTCCTTAAGGAAGATTGAAAGAGGCTATTATCAAAGAATAATCACTCAACAAACTTATATTTCTGTCCAGCCTCATTACTTCCCCACATTGAATGTTACTAGTTATGCTGAAATTTAAGAAACCTTCATTCTAGTCATGCTAACTAATGACAAAAAGACTTTTCTATCTTTCAACTTGCTTATATTGCTGTAGATATCATTAAACTAATTAGAAACAGGAGTTCCACTTAATGTTTGTTCATTGTTGTTCCTTTTTCCCATTGTGTTCACACAATGCTCATTCAGATGCCATGGAAAGGCTAGAAGCAGGACATGAGTGCAAGGGTCCAGGAGTAAATAGCTATCACATGTGCTTCTTAGCCACTGGAGTTTAAAGATGTACTGCTTATGATATTGGGAGTGGAGATATAGCCATCAGAATTAATAGTAATTGGCCTTAATGAATAAATTGGGATTTATATAAATATTGACATTATTTTATAGCTGATTCATTGGCTCAACTTCAGTTAGTATGACCAATTGAGACAATTAATAGGCTTATCCATGAATTTGTCCAATATATTTTGAATACATCCAACTTGATGGTCATCCTGTAGAAGATCTTGGCTTCCATAATTCAAACCACAGGAATAGCTGTTTTCAAAAACTAAGAGCATGGTGAAGACAAAGCAAAAGCATGTAGATAATGTAGACAATTTTTAGCATTTTTGTACTTCTAAAGTTGGTGCTTTGCTTCCTTAATTTAAACTCACTTCATAGGCAGAACAAATGTAGCCACCTTAAAAAATGGCAGTCTGCAACGTCTCAGTACCTGAGGTAGAACACACACTAATATCCCCTTCCCTTCCTTTTCCCTCTTTCTCTCTCCATGGTGCTGCTTCTCCATACCTTGTCTTTGTTGTCTCCTTTCCCTTAGCAAGCAGCTATGGAGACTTATTAATGATACTATGGCACAGGTAGCTTCCTGCTCCCTATGTCTGGCTTAAGTGATTTTTTGTCCTAAAACCAGATAAGTTGCGAGACAGCAGTCAGAAAACAAAGACCCAAAAGAAAATTAACAGTTCCCATGAGCATCATTTCACATGTCAACTAATGTTTACAAAATAAAATATAAGGTACCCATATCTACCAGTAATCTTATCTTACAATATATATACACACAGATGTTCCCTTACACACATATATTAATAGATAGTGCTTTGAATATGTTTCATGTATTGTGTTAAATAAATATTCAGTGCACAGTGCAAATGCATTAAACATCAACTGCATATAGACTGGCTTTGCACATGAATTGACATCAAAGCATGCTTATTGTGTATGCAGTGGAGTGAAAGAATGGATAGGCATAGGATTAGAAAGATCTTGCATACAGATAAGCATAGAAATGCATATTTTCCAAGGGTAAACGAAAGAGGGGGACAGCACAGAGACATGTTGTACCCACCAGCTCAAAAGGGAAAGTAGATAAATTCATGTGGATGTGGCTATCAATGATTCATGTGGATGTGGCTATCAATGACCCAATGACTGTGTCAGAGATTACGTGCTCCCAGTTGCTGCAGAATCATACAACCTCATCATACAGGCTAATTTGCCAATTGTACACCACTTGCTCTCCCTTTTGCCGCAGAGCCCATTACACAATGTACATCTACTTCTGGAGAGGCTCCATGACAAAAGGGTAGAGCAAATGGCATACGCCACTGTGGCGGCAACACAGAAGGCTTTCCGAGTTGTCTTTGCAACCATGGGGTAAGTCGGGTGGAGGATGCTTCCCCCATGGGATGAGGCCATTGGTAAGACTGGGGCCAGTGGTGGGTTGCCAGACACTGCTCCAATCCTGCTTGCTCATTTTGAAGCATGGATGCCCATATGAAGAACGTTCAGACTTTGCAGTAAGTTGGATGAGAAGCTTGGTCTACTCACTAGAGAGAAATGGAGTACCAATCCTTGCAATAACCAAGAAAGCACACCCACACACATAAGGAACACTTACATTTGCAGATGTCCTTATATATATTCATTCCATTGCCTTTAACTATTTTACTTGTCCCGTGGTCACAATTAACATAACTTGACCAATACTTATCACTGCATCTTACACACACAAAAGATGTGACGTGATATGTACAGGCAAGTTATGAACAAGATAGGCACTGTAAGTTTGTTCTTAAGTTGAATTTTTTTGTAAGTTGAAACACCCCTGAGGTGTTTGTTTTGCTGTCTGTGCTTTGTTCAGAAGGATTTACCTCACTTTCTGTTCCTATGATAATTGGATTTTGAAAAAATTGGTTTGTTTTGGAAACAAGGATTGGTGATAAAGTTTGGGTATAGACACTAGGCTTGGTTGCTTAAAAATGGTTCTAAGCGGTGTTCAAAAGTAGGGGACGCTGGTGGTTCGATTCTAAAGTCACTTCCGAATTTTTCTGAAAAAAATTGGAACTTTCCGAAACTTCTGAATCGATTTGTTAATGGTGGACACAATTGTGCAATACATGAAAAACAGCTTTGGAGATGTCCCTTGCTTGGGATGGTCACCAGTTGTGCAGTTTAGGTGCTGCAGTGTTGGGAAATGTAGTTTGAAGCCCCCAAAACACCACCCAAAGAAAAATCAGAGATGAAAAGCACAAAATTTAGCTTGGGTGACTTCCCTGGCTTGGAATGGTCTCCAGTTGTGCAGCTCAGGTGCTGCAGTGTTGGGGAATGTATGTTCAAAAAGCAAAACCCAGAAAGAAGGGAGACCAACCCCAATAAAATATAATAGCCTTCTTTGGATAGGCACCAGGAAAATGACGTTCAGGACTTTTAGGAAATGTTTAAAAAAGCAAAACCCAGAAACAAGGGAGACCCCCCAATAAAAACAGCTATTGCTAAGCTTTAGTGACCAAAAAATTAGTTTCAAATCATTTTATTAACTTCTCCCTCACTCCCAAACAAACTTTTCCTTTTTTCTGTCTCTTCTCTTTCTCTCCCCCCTTCTCCTAAAACTTCCCTTCCTTTTCTCTTCTGTCTTCCATCCTTCTCCAAACATCCTTTCCTTTGGTTCCAGACAAATCCTTTCCAGTCCACCCACCCCCAACAGCAGCAGCACAATAGGAGCAGACAGCGGCTGCCAACCTCCCTCATTCCTTCCCTGGCTGGAATGAGCCTCCCAGCCACGTGCTTGGGTTTATAAGCAGCAATGGCTGCCAAGATACTGGATAATCCCTCCCCTCCCCAAAACATAAGCCCTGATTGGCTGGGAGGCAAGCAGCTTAGTCTACACCTCCCCTTTTTCATGCAAGTAAAAAAGCTTTATCATACTTCCAACTCAACTTCTGATCCAATGTATTCAATTGGCCAAGGCAATTCAAAACTATAGGAGACTTCCAACTCGTAGATACGCGTCGGAAGTCCCTTCGGAAGCCCAAAAACTTCCAACTTTATTTCTGAATCTGCAACATCCAAGCAAACTTGCCCATGCCTATTAGACACCTTTTTCCCATGATAACTTCCAGGAGTGAATTTCCCTTCCTAGAAGTCAATTTCTCTTACTTCCTGTTGTCTCACCCCCATTCTTAACTATGACTCATTTGTAAGTCATATGTTTTCAACTTGGGGAATGCCTGTATTAGATGGGGACCTGAACAATATGATGATATACAAAAGGGGAAACCTCAAATAAGGTTGAGGCAGGATACAAGACCAATGTATCCTGCCTCAAGCCACAGGGAGAGGCAGGCAATAAAATTGTTGTTGTTGTTGTCATTATTGACCTATGTAATTGTGTCTGTTCTTCCAACATCATCTGACTGAGACTTCTCTGTGTTGAAGTGGGTTGTGAATGTGTGGCCAATGTGAATATGCTAATGTAATGAGTGAGAATGGAATTATCAAACTCCTTCTATTGTATCAAACATATTAGTAATCTATGTCAGTTCCGGATGCCACCCTTCCAAATGTTAATGTCTTGTAAGCGTCGTTATGACGCTAAAAAGAAGCCATATTTCAACCCTTTCTGTACTGATGTCTATTCCAGACTTAGTGTGAGAGAAATTACAATAAGTAGCTCTAATTAAAAGCTTAAGGACTTCATCTTTCAGCTTATATTTAATCACATTTGTCTTCCCAGTCTTGGATGTTTTACTGAATACAAACTGAAACTACTGAAATATTCTGAAAAGCATGGAAGGTCACTACAAAAGTTAATTCAGGCAAAGTTGACAATTCCCTTTACTGATTTTTATATATAGTTTAAAACTTTTGATTCTTTCTGTGGAAATAGTCTGAATAATATGAACATATGAATAATATAAACACATGTGGTGGACCTGCATGAAGGTAAAAGCCTATTGGAAAACAATCCAGGAAAACTGTCAAAAAATATTAGGGAAAAATATTCCTCTAAATCCAGAGATTTTTCTTCTGGGTCTAACAGAAAAAACATGGGACAAAGAGACTGACAAGCTTTTCATCTATCTGGTCACGGCAGCACGCATACTTCTCGCCAAAGTATGGAGAAAAAAGGAAATGCCATCAGAGACAGAATGGATCCAAAAAATAGTAGACATAATGAATATGGACCATCTATCTTATATCCTCTCAAATATACGAAACATACAGATTGTTGAGACAAACTGGTATCCGGTCAAGAAATGGTTGGAGGGGAGAAAGATAAAATTACAAATTGGCTAACGTCAGTCCCATAATGTCGGCTCTAAACCCCATACATCTTGGTAAACATCTCTATTAAGTTGTCAAAATACGAATATTACACCATATATTTAACTTAAATTAGAGCACGAAAAGAAGAAAGGCAAAGATCAATGGGTGTAAAGGATTACAGGGAATAGAACTTGCCAGCAGTAAGCAAAGGGTAACCATAAGTCAGAAATATGAGAAGTTCTATTTAAAGAGTAATAAAGATATATACATAAAAGGCTTGGAATTAAGTAAGACAATATTAAATGCATCTAACCCAAGAACTTAGTATTGGAAAAATATGTATATATTTCTAAATATAAATGAAGACTGTAAATTTAGATTAAGAGAATATCCACCAGAGTGAGGGAGAGGAGGTTCGGCCAATATAGGTTGGCTGAGTTTTTAATGTATCTGTCTATGTATACCTTGTCATATTTGTACTTAGCTGTTTGTGTAGGTGGTTGTCTTGTCTGTCTTTTTATATGTTGTGATAATAATAAAAAAAAAGAAATAGTCTGAATAATATTGTCATTAAAGATAAGCTGTTACACATTTTCCATTTGGATTGTTCACAGTCCAACACTCTAACCCTATACTGGCTCTCAGAAACAACAAATGAATGGCAGAGAAGCAGGTTGAAAGTATTTAATTCTATGAAGGAGAAAAGGCATTCCTTGTCTTTATTTAGAATGTAAATTTTGAATACAGTACATGAGATTATTTCTCATACTGGACCTACAACTCGGTCTCATTCACCCTATGGAATTCATTGGGTTGAAGTAAGTTGGTGGGCAACAAAGGTACATAGACACGTGTGCACATATCTGAAATCATGTGGTCTGCCTATATTGCATTGCTACCAAGCACAATTCAAAGTGCTGGCTTTAGCCTATAAAGCCCTAAATGGCCCCGGCCCAGTTTACTTGTCCGAATGCACCTCCCTATATGAACAACTGCGAAGACTAAGATCTCCTGGGGAGACCCTGCTCTTGGTCCCGCCAATGTCACAGGCATGTTTGGTGGGGACGAGAGACAGGGCCTTCTCAGCAATTGTCCCCCAACTATGGAACTCCCTTCCTGGCAATATTAGATCAGCCCCCTCCCTCCTGGCCTGGCTGTGGGACCAAGCCTTTGGGACAGTGCAATGAGGCAATAATAGAATGGTGTCCTGAGATGGTTTTTAAGCAACTGATTTTAAAGTGGATATAAGTGATTTTAATGTTTGTATTTATGTATGGTTTCATGTCTCGGCACTGAATGTTTGCTGTATATATATTGTGCTCCGCCCTGAGTCCCCTGCAGGGTGAGAAGGGCGGAATATAAATGTTGAATACATAAATAAATCTACCCAGGACTATAGAACTATTTATTATATACAATTATAAGAGATGTTCTTAAAATATATTGCTTACCAATAATTCCAATTTTACCTTTATCAGTGTCAGGTGCTGGCTATGGCTATATTTACAGATGGCTCTCTTGGGAGATGTGGTCTATTCCATCCATTCAAGTGTTTTGATTTGATGGATGTCAAATCATTCTAATTAGCTTGTTCTGTTCAACATGTAGTTGAAATGCATTTGAAGAATATGTTTTTTTCCTCCTCCCAAAGCTGAGGGGGCTCATCTTATTTTGGGATTTTCCAGATGCATTGACAGTTCCTGAGAAGTATTACAATTTTTTATAGTCATTAATAGACCAATAGGTTTTGAAACACACATAAGTTGTGTGCAAGCCCGTAGCCAGGATTTCAATTCGGGGGGGGGGGGGGGGGGCTGAGTCTGAGTGAAAGTGGGTCTACCCTAGCAAACCTTTTGTATCGTTACCCCAATACCCCCATGCATATGGGATATATTGAGTATGGTGATCAGATCATGATATGAATAAACATAACAGTTTAAATAATGCACCTGTAAGGCCTTTTCGCAAACCACCATGAGAATTTGGGGGGGGGGCTAAAGTACACACCCCCCCCCCCCAGCTACATGCCTGGGTGTGTGCAAAGTGTATGTGCTTTCACATCATCTGCTGACCAAAGACAACCTCATGAATAGAGCTTTCTTAGGCAAGGAATACTTAAGAGATCCTTTTGCTAGTTTCTAATGTACAGTCCATAGCACCAAGATCTACCCTGCTCATCTTCCAAAATCAGACTGTATCTGGTGTCTTTAGGGTATTTAGGTAGTATTATTACCATACCTTATATTCATCTTTATAATTCCCGCTGCCTAAAGACATTTGAATTATGACCATCTGACAGATGGTGGGATGATAAAAACAAGGAAAAATAAGCTGAGATATAGCTTTTATCCTAGAACTCTGACTACATTAAACACTATGGTTTTCATCATCATCGGTGATCCCTTGTGTCTCAGTATGATTGCTTTCCAAGTGTAGGGTATTGGCAGTGGGCCCATAAGTGATTGTAGAGACCTATTCTTGACCTGCATGTTATAATAATAATAATAAACTTTATTTATACCCTGCCACCATCTCCCCAATGGGGACTCGGAGCGGCTTACATGGGGCCAACATATTACAGCAATAAAATCAAAACATAAACAACAAATAACAACAACATCATCAAAATTACATTTTAAAAAAGTAGTCATAAAAGAACATTCTAATAAACACAATGTTCTTTCAGTGAGGACATCAGTTTCTAGATGGGAGGTTGGCTTGATGAGCCTTCTTCTCCCTTTCGTCCTCCATTCGTGCCTCTTCGAATTCCACAATGGTTTTACGCTAAGGTGGCATCAGGGGTTGCACAATAGTGATTGGAATGTGGAAGGATTGATGTTTTGTTTTCTAATTATACATATATAAAGTGATTGGGGATGCTATTTAATTTCGTTGTACGATGTACAATGACAGATTTATTCTGTTCTTTTCTATTCTATCTAGATCATAAATGAAAATAACTGAAAGCAGACACGAGCTGTTTTTAATTATGTTTATTTAAAATATAAAGGAATAATTGGGGGTTGATAGAATAAAAAATAATCTGCAGCGACACTGATTAAAAAATGTTATTAAAGAAAAAACATGTTTTCATTGCAGATTCCACAACATATGCACATTTTTTGTTCAACGCATTTGACACAGATCATAATGGATGTGTAAGTTTTGAGGTGAGTCTAAGTATTTATTTATGATCTTATTGACTGTGTTTCAGAGCTTCAACTCAGTTCATCAGGGTTTAATTTTGCACATCTTCTGTATCTTTCATTTAGTATGCTTGCTTTGAGACTGGGCATTGAAAGCATACATAGGCTTAATGTGAAAGTCTAATTACCGAGACATGTATCTCTGAGAAAATCCCATTATGGGGCAGGGAAATATGTTAAAGATCAGGAATATGCAATCCTCTTAACCTCAACTAGATTTTTTTCACAGTTTTTAGAGGGAAACATAAGAGTGATTGATTGATTGATGGAATTGATTAATTCTGGCAAGTGGGAACATAGAAAAGGTACAACAGCCTAACCATCCCATTTCAGAAGGTACTGACTAGAATTGTTATGATACCATGAATCTATCACTGTTATCCTATTGGTAACTCCCAACCAGAATAGATCTATTCAATTAGGTTAAGACATAGGCAAATTACACTGATTGGGTCTACTGCAGATAGGACTCACAACAGAATTTAGACCTACATTTGCAAGATGTCAACAGGCTTTATTATTTACTAAGAGGACTGGGTTGACTCAGATGGCAGAATAGTCATTTTCTGTATATAGAAAAAAGGTTGATGGTGCCATCTTGTCCCCTGTTTCAGGCAGCTAAATGCCTTGGGTTACTCATGCCTGGTAGAAATAATTAGGATTAGTATTTTGCTTTATTACGGTACATGTCGAGTCTTGAATTCATTTGGCCTTTGTTTTGCAGGTAGCAAAGAAAATCAGTAATCATAGTCTTAATCACTAGATATGTTATAAAGCAGCAGGTGCCCTTTATTGGTATCCTCAGCACATGCTTTTTTCTGCTACTCGTGTTCATTCTCCCACCAACTCTTGAGTAGATTATAGTTCTTCTTTGCTGGTACTTTTATACTGTACAATACTTCTTTAATGAAGCATTGACATACCTATCAATCAGAAATAATATCAGCTATTCACCTGATGCATATAATGGCATTTTCCAGCAGGTCCTAAATCAAATCAAATCAGTTTTGTTTCATTGATCTTAAAGTACACTATGCAACATGATTTTTGTTCCTGAGCTATAAATATAGTTTCCTAATTGGCTCTATCATAAAAAAATGGAAAAAGTTTATTAAACTGCAAAAACTTTGTTTTTGCACATATTTTCATTGAGGAAAAAAAACTTTTGGGTTTCACGTAATCGAAGGATAAAAAAGAAAAATGTTTCTGGAGTATAACAACTACTTTCAAAGTAAGTACCACACAATTCAACAAGAAGTAATACTTTCAAACCAGGAAGAGATTTTTTTTTCAAATTTTGTTACATAGTGTTATAGAGCTGGAAGGGACCTCAAGAATCATAGAGCTAGAAGAAACCCCAAGGTCTATCCATTACAAACCCTGTGCCATGCAGGAATACACCATTAAAGCATCCCCCAACATCTTCCAGCCAGCCTCTGTTTAAAAACATCCAGAGGAGACTCCACCATACCCTGAGGCAGTATATTCCAGCGTTGAACAGCTCTCACTGTCAGGAAGTTCTAAGATTTACGTAGGATCTCTTTTCCTTGAGTTTGGAATCCATTGTTCCATGTCTTCATCTTTGGAGAAGTAGAAAACAAGCTTGCTACTTCCTCAGTATGGCATTCTTTCAAATTAAATATTTGAAACATGGTTATCTTTAAGCTAAACATACCCGTTTCCTTAAGTCACACCTCATATGCTAGGCTTCCAGACCTTTTATCATTTTTATTCCTGTTTGTTAATATCCTTCTTGAATTGTGGTGCCCAGAACTGGACACATTATTCCAGGTGGGATCTGACCAAAGCAGAATAGAATGATCCTATTACTTCCCTCGATATAGACCAGTGGTTCTCAAAATGTGCTCCACTGAGCTATTGAGATTCCATGAAGCATATTAAAGGGCTCCACAGTTCCCTCCTCCTCGCTCCCTCTCTCCCCCTTCTCCCCCTCCAAGCTTTTCCTCCTCTTTCCTGCTCCCACCTCCCTCCCCCCAAAAAAGCCTTTTTTTGCTCACTTCCCTTGCTGACAAGTCTTTTTTCCTTCACCTTCTTCGCCTTCCAGATCCTTTCCCCTCATCTTGCTTGCTTCCAAGCCACTATTTCCCTCCCACCACTTAGGGCTTTTCCTGGATGGCAGAAGGGGGTTGGACTGTATGGTGTTTGGGTCTCTGTTGTTGTTGTTGTTGTTGTTGCTGTTGTTGTTGTTGTTGTTGATGATGATGATGATGGTGATTATTATTATTATTATAAAGGCTGGATGGCCATGTTTTGGGGGTACTTTGATTGTGTTTTTCCTGCATGGTAGAAGGTGGTTGGACTAGATAGCTCCTGGGGTCTTCCACTGATATACTGTTTATGCTGGTCAAAAAGTGTGCGCATGCCTGATATATATGCATTATATATAATATAATATTTCTTGGGGCTCCACAAGAAACTTTTGTTTCTAAAAGGGCTTTGTGGCTGAAAAAGTTTTAGAATGCCTGGTGTAGACATTATTTTATTTATTTAAATTTTTTATTGTTCACTGTTTTTATGCTTTTAAATGCTTTGTTATGTTTTTACTTTTGTTAATGTATGTAATTTATATATGGCATTGGAGTGTGCCAACTTGTTCGCCGCCCTGAGTTGCCTTTGGGCTGATATGGGCTGGGTAAAAATAGCCTAAATAATAGATAGATAGATGATAGATAGATAGATAGATAGATAGATAGATAGATAGATAGATAGATAGATAGATAGATGCAGCTTAGAATCACAAAGGCTCTTTATTACCACATACACTGCTGATTTATATTCTGCTTTTGGTCTATTAAGAGCCCTAGGTTCTTTTCACATGTACTGTTTTCAAGCGAGGGGCCAACCACCCTAGATCTGTACATTTCATGTCTTCTGCTTAAGTGCAGTACCTTACATTTCTCACAGTTGAAATTCACTTTGTTAGTTTTGGCCACACTCTAATCTGTTAAAGTCCTGCCTCATCTTGAACCCACAGCTAAAGCATCTTCGACACATACAACCTACATTGAAAAACATCCAATGAAAAGAGTTCACTGCCTTCTGACCTAATACATGTTTCTATCAAACAACAGGGATTTCTTTTTTATGTTTATTCAGAATCTCTTTTCTTTTGTCTCCACAAAGGCAACATGACTAAAATATTTCCTTAGCCTGTAGCAAACAAGATGCTCATAAATCATAGTAAAAAGAGATTTATATACCACAACAATACAAATTTCATATAGTTGAAAGTATAAAACAGAATATGAGAACATGAACAACTTTTAAATATTATAATAAAAGCCATTTTTTGTTTTGACAAATTCTGATGTATTAGATTCTACTCTGCTCATTCCACCATACAATCATCATTCCCAGATGGACCATAATCAATCCTGAAAAGGATAAAAAGAGATTTAATATAATGAGAAAAAAATATTAAATTAGGGGACAGGGGAAAGAGAGGGTCTCTTAATTAACTAGGCTCGCTTCCTCTGTTTCACTTTCCTTCACCTCCCAAATAACTCCTTTATTCCATCATATTGTTCCCAAGGAAGCAGCTGCTGCTCATTTTAACCCTCTGTTGACAGGATAGGATCAAATGCTTTTCAAAAGCCCTATGTGAAAGTAATACAACTTTGGTGTCAGTTTCTTTACTCTTTCAGTTACGTTATCCCTTTAGCTTTTCAGATTTTAGAAGCTTTTTTTCCATTTTTTTGTAGTTGTATGCCTCCATTTCTGAATTATGTTAAAGTAGGTGGAAAGTCCATTTTAATCTGGTTGTTGATGATAGAGAAGATTTAAATGTCAAATAGCACCACTAACTTTAAAAAATGTAGGATGGGTGACAGGTTGACTTGTTTTGATTTATTCTGTTTGCTCTATGTTCTCAAGATTGTAAAAATAGTTTTAAAGCATAGAATGATCACAGAAGACACAATATTAGGGATATTGTGTCACGGAGACTCCATAGTTTGTGTGTGTTTACTTGCCTTTACATGCTATTGTTAACCCCAAAAGGCTTATCTGCAACAATATTGCTTTACTGAATAATTTTATTTGCCATCCAATGATCTCCGGTTAATAATGTTCTGTATTTTCTTGGACACCTTTGACCCTGAGCTCTTTTCTTTGACTAGATTAGCACTGTTAATTTTCCTTTTGATAGAGGGTTAATGAATAAGGGGATAAGACTTTAGTAAACAGTAGACTTTGCCATGAAGGTTGGTGTGTTTGAAAGAGGTAAGAATAATTTCTGCCCAAAGTAATAATTGAGTTTGGAATTCTAAACCTTCTGCTGTCAATGTGGAGATAATCTCTTCGTGATTCAGAGGTCACTTACTTACAGAAAAGCCTTTTTCCAGCACTGAATGTATTTTTCTGAGGATTATGTCCAACTTAGTTGAGATGTTGCGGTGAATACACAATGTTTGCCTGTTGCCCTTAGACATTGAAATTATGTTAGATGTCTAGAAAATAATATAGCGGAGATGTGTTTGGACTTCTTGCTACTTTCATCTGTTAAGGTGTTCCTCATGTGGGAGAGCATTTCTTGCTTTCTGGCTGCAGAGTGGCAAAACCAACCAAGAGAAAAAAGCAAAGTGGTAACAGAGCTTCGGAACATAACTCTTAATCATTTCTGCACCAGTTTGGAGCAAACATTGAGGGAGTGTAAGGTTTAAAGGTTTTCACGTGCCCACCTTGACCCCCTTCTCTTTAGGAGAAAGGCAGGATGTAAGTGCAATAAACACATTAAAAATATGTGGAGAGGAGGTGATTTTGGAAAGGAGTGTATCTGCAAAGACAGATTCCTAGAGGAGAGTGAATGCACTATCAACAGTTTGACGTACAGCCAACCCAGAATGGAATCACCAAGAAATGTTGTTGCATGGAGGCTTTTTAGATATTAATGCACTGAAATACAATGGGTGAATGTATCATAAGCTCTTGCAATCTCCATTTTTGTCTAATCTTTTTAATTCATCAGATGAATCTTTTGAACAAAGCCAGGGAGAAAGCAGACTATCTCAGAATGGTGTGTGTATGCATTTAACTATGAAATGCATACCATAATGGGGATTACCTGGGAAAGAATCCAACTGGAGCATTGCAGCACACCCAAATACCCGAGAGTCACTCTGGACCGTGCTCTGACTTACAAGAAGCAGTGCTTGACTCTCGAGCAAAAAGTGGGTGCTAAAACTAATATCATATGAAAGCTCACCCACACAACCTGGAGATCACAACCGGATACAGTGAAGACATCTGCCCTTGTGCTTTGCTATTCTGCTGCTGAATATGCATGCCCAGTGTGGAATACATCTCACTACATTTAAACAGTGGATGTAGCTCTTAATGAGACATGCCACATTATTACAGGATGTCACTGCCCAACACCACTGGAGAAATTATGATAGCTGCCTGGAAGTAGCAGTCAGCAATGAAAAGACCAAGGTATTGACATCCCGTTTGGATATCAGCATGCCAATGACATAAATCAAGAAACAGCTTCCTAAGATCTACAGATATACTTGCAAGAACACCTCAGCAAGTGAGAGTCCAAAAGTAGCATCTTAAACCCGCAACCACAATCAGTGGCTGATACCAGAGGAAAAACTCCCTCCTGGGCATACAGAAGACTGCGTGACTTGGAAGGCGATGTACAGACCGTTGCGCAGAAGCGGATTTTAGCCAAGTCCCATGCAAAAGACACACAGACAAGAGGAAAAAAAGGAACAGAAAAACTTCACTCTTATCAGCAGAGGCAATAAACTTGCAGTGTTGCATACAAAATCAAACAGGGCAACAAACTTACATAGTCCTTGTAAGTAACACAGAATAAGGCTTCTTCATCTTCAATCAAATGAGAGAGCAAAATATAAACCTTGAGTAAATAGCTATTCCACCATAGCAAAAAGCATCACTGTTAGAGCATAGCAGCATTACAGCATATTGCTTTTCTTCAACTCCAAACAGCATTCTAAAATCCATACAGTTATACCCCACCTGGTGTGGCCCAAACAGGCTGGCTGACCTACATTACCAGCTGCACATAATACTTAACATCATAAGGTTTTCTTTAACACACACACACACTTGATCCTGCTACGACTTACTGTAACATAGACTGCGGTCTGGCACCACGGGATGCAGAGCCAGTCTTAAGAAATGGGGCTACAAAATGACATGTGAGTGTGGAGAAGAGCAAACCACAGACCACTTACTACAATGCAGTCTGAGCCCTGCCACATACACAATGGAGGGCATTCTTACAGTGACATCAGAGGTACTTGAAGTGGCCAGCTTCGGGTCAAAGGAAAATTAGCATAATGCCAAGTTTTTAACCTTGTTTGTGGTTTTTTATACATTAAAACTGGTGGGGCAGTGGGTTAAAGTGCTGAGCTGCCAAACTTGCTGACCGAAATGTTGCAAGTTTGAATCCGGGGAGCGACATGAGCTCCCGCTGTTAACCCCAGCTTCTGCCAACATAGCAGTTCAAAAACATGCAAATGTGAGTAGATCAATAGGTACTGCTCCGGTGGGAAGGTAATGGCGCACCATGCAGTCATGTCTGCCACGAGACCTTGGAGGTATCTACTGACAATGCTGGCTCTTCGGCTTAGAAATGGAGATGAATGCCAACCCCCAGAAATGGACAAGACTGGACTTAATGTCAGGGGAAAACCTTTACCTTTTCCTACACATTAAAACAGTGTTCTCAATCTGTTTCTGACACGATAAATAAATAACTATAAAATGTACTAGCTGCAAAAGGATATTCTGTGTGTTAAAACAAGAAACTACTTTTCAAATTTGTGACTTGTGTGGGTTACATGGTTCAGAACTTGGCGTGGTTCTCAACCTGGGGTCCCCAGATGTTTTGGCCTTCAACTCCCAGGAATCTTAACAACTGGTAAACTGGCTGAGATTTCTGGAAATTGTAGGCCAAAACATCTGGGGACCCACAGGTTGAGAACCACTGTGTTAGGGACATAAGCTAATAGGAGGACTTAAACATGGAGGATTTATGCAGCCGGAAAATTCACACCCACCTCAAAATAAAAAGGCTCAAAGGTACTCAGAAAGAAAGATAGTAAAGATAGTAAAATGTGTGAAAGCCCTCTCCCTTCCTGCAGTAAGTGAACACTTTGATAGTTTGGGTATTTGTGCTACAAAAGAGCTGCTGCCTCCCTAGGTAGTTTGGGAATACTATATGGAAAAGCACAGAAGTTGAGTGTTGCTTGCTTCTGTTCTAAATTCTCCTCCTCCTCCTCCTCTTCCTCCTCCTCCTCCTCCTTCCTGATTGTACATACTTGGGTAGATCTTTGCACCTAAATCATGTGTTCCATAATGTCTTATATCCTTTGGTATAGTATATAAAAACACATGCTTGGTCTAGAAACCCCTGATCAAATGATTGCAAAAGGTGGTATTAAACTATACATGTCTGCATATTTAAACTCCACAAAAAAGTTGCTGACCCTTTTAATTGGTTCATGTAATTAAGTTATGCCTGTGGGAAGATAAGAGATGTAAATTCCCTGTAGCAGTCTGATCACTTTTATTCCTCTTGGGCTCAGACTTTCATATTACTAAATTAATTGAGTTTATTATTCATAGGCTAAAACAAATGTGGGGAGAAAAATTAACATCTCATACAAAATCATATATGTCATCTGTTCTATTTTGGGTCCCTCATCAATGACAGTAATCCCACGGTGTTTCGTAACAACTTGTACTAATTATACATGTCAGCCTTAGCAGCACTCTATAATAAAAAACAGTAACACATGAATAATCAGGTTGATGAACCGGGGCAGCTACTTAGGTGCTTAGGCATTTTATTTTTTGGCTTGCAATCGATGTAATCCTTGAGCCATTTATGTGGAAAGAATCTCATTGCGAAATCAATTATTTATGTGTAAATGATAAAAAGCACGATCCAATCAAAGCTGGACACTTTACTGTTCCTTTTATTTCAGTAAACCCAATCTAGACAAAAGTAGCTACTTAAGAGGTCTCATTGAAACCCTACTGATTTCAAAAAGAGTATTAAGTGTGCGTTTAGATTTAAGTGCCTAATATTGTTACTGTGACTACTTATTTTCTGATAGGGTAGAAGGCAAAGCTGTCATTCTCTCTTAAGCCATAACATGCAGTATTTTCTGATTTTTTTTTTAAAAAGATCACAATATCCTTTTTCATCTTTTTCCCCAGGATTTTGTTATGGGCCTTTCAATTTTACTCCGAGGGACTGTTCAGGAAAAACTCAACTGGGCTTTTAATTTGTATGATATAAATAAGGATGGATATGTAACTAAAGAGGTAAGCAGTGTCAATGTGATTCAAATAGCAGAGCACAAATGTCCTCCATCTATTCTTTATGTTGTCTTCTTCTCCCCATGGCTGCCACCTACCTCCCTACCAGATGAGGGTGGAGTAGCCCAAGAGTCCAGCTGTGTTCCTGCAGCTGGGCACATGAAGCTGACACAAGTCTCCCAGGCATCCTGGTTACAGAAGCATAGTTGGGTGTTGCCTGGCCATCCAGCCTCTCACAGTCACTAAAAGGTCATTGGGGGAGATATAGGCAGCAGAGAAATAGAGAGTTACTGATGGATCTGCAACATCAGTATCTGCAACAACCACAAAAGGTTATACAGAGGTGTGATTTCGCATTGCTTAAATTAAATTAAAGCTGCTTATTCCAAATAATGCAGCCCCAAACAGCCGAAATATCCTTGTGAAGGAGTCGTTAAACTGCTGCCACCAATTGTAATGATGACCGTTTTAATGCCACCGAATGCCACCAATTGTGAAGGTGCGCGTGGTAAAGCTCCCACTGCCACCTTATCTATGAGGGAAGCCGGGCAACGATCAATATCAACCTAGGAGCTATTTTATAAAGGGACTGTTAATTACAGAAGGCTTTATTCACTTGATAGCGTAGCGTTTATTTTCTTGGCTTGACTTTACTATATTGCAGGCTGTTCAACTTAGGAGAAACTGTATCAGGCAAGGCTTGAGGAAAACAGTAACAAGTTTATTTTAACAGGAGTATAACAATGTATAACTGTTCTTCAAAAGAGGCACAAATCTTGATGGATACATTGGAAAGGTTTCATGAGTAAACTCAGGCAAACACTTCATAAGGTTTCACAGCTGGCACAACAGGCTTAAACCCAGCCAAACCTTGATTCTTAATTTAGAATAAACAACCCCCTGTACCGGGTCCTTCTCTGCAACCACTTGGTCACCAATTGATTCCCTGAATCTCCACCAAGAGATTCAGTCTTTCCCTATACCATACTGGCTACAGACACATTCCCTGAATCTCCACCAAAAGATTCAGTCCACTCAGTAGCTCACTGGCGTACTGACTGACCCTTTTTCAAAACAGCTGCCCCTGAAGAGGCAGTTGGCTCCGCCCCTGTTGCTATGGCAACTCAGCTAACGCCAAGCCACTCTCCAACAAAACATAATCTTACACACTTACCATCCCTAAACCACTGTCCAAACTACACATAACTAAAGGAATAAAATTTACACATCGTCACAATCCTGTTTCTAGAATATATTTTATGTGCACATATTACATATGCACACCCTAATGTGTATTGTTATAATGAAGTCTGACACACAGAGAGAGAGAGACAATAATTAAGGAGCTGATAATTAAGGAGCTGATCATATCACCCCTTTGGTTTTGCCATTTGTGTCCATTCTGTTGTGATTTCCTGGATCTGACCTAAGATACAATTGAAGCTTGATTGATTTTTGAGGCCTGGATTGAGGAGAGGGTCTTATTTTTTTCCTGCTTTCTCCCCCTAAAGTTGCATATTCTTAATTCATTGATGTACTACAACTTGGTAATAATTTTTTTAAAAAGGTAAAGGAATGTAATTGAATAATTACTTGACATGGAGATGCTTACGATAATGTTTTTAAGGCTTTGTATGGTTTTTTAAATATTCTTATATTTTATGCTAAATGTTTTAACACTATTTTATGATTGTTTTATTAATTATAATTGTTGAGGCAGCAAATTGTTGCCAATTGTGAACCACCCTGAGTTGCCTCTGGGCTGAGAATGGGGGTATATAAATGTGGTAAATAAATAAACACATAATCTAGGACAAGAAGACATGTTTTGTGGGGGAGTTTTAACACAACACCCCCGGCGCTAAAAAAAACAGCAACCAAGTACTAGGACAATATATATACTGCAGCCTTCTGACACATCTGCCCCACTTGGTAGAGTTCATATTGTTTCGACCACTGCTTTTTAAACAGTGGATCCTGTCTGGGGTTGCCAAGGCACCTAGGATCCAGCTGACCCCTGGATTAATGTGCAGCTATAGAAACAAATGTTGTCTGTGTCATGCACATTCAACCAGACCACTTTGTAGCTGCTGCGCCTTACCTGCTTGCTGCTTATCTATCTTTCTGCTATTTCAATTAAACACTGTGCAACCGTTTCATCTGTCAAGCGACCTTGACAGCAATATGTATTTCTTGTTCCAGTTACTAAGTGACTTAACTATTTACAAGCAAATACTCACAGCACAGATATGTCACACCATCAAGAGAGAGTTCACAAAGAGAAAGAATATGGCTTCCAGTTTATATAGCATAGCCTATTTCTGTATCAGCCCAGCAAATGACCTCTAAGCTTGTCACTGTGACCTAGTCGGACATGTTGTGTTTAGTCCAGCCCCTCCACTGAGCAATTAACCCCTAGCTGACACATGTCTGGAGGAATAATATTTTTCTTACTTATGGATTCACTACCATTTCAACAAATCCAGAGCTCAATGTTAGGGTCACAAAAAAATCGGCAACAGTAAAAGATTTCTGAATGCCACCCATTTACAAAGTTTGTTAGCAACAACATGCAGTGTTTACAGTGGACTCTGCAAAAATACTTCAGCTGTATCCCATAAAAAGGAAAATCAGCCAGTTTATCAAGCCTTGCAAATACTAATTTATTATGATTAATGTTTGATTTTTATATTTATTTTATATACCTATATACATGAAGTCATGTAAACATTGCTCGGGCGACAAGGGGTCACATGTGGAAAAAGTTGAAGAAGTCCTGGTTTAGACTATAGATCAGTAGTTTAGAATCCTACCCTCTGAGCCATTTTTGTGCCCGACTCACCTCCTGGACACCTCAAAATGTTGTTATTGTTCTTTGCCTTCAAATTATTCCTAACTTATGGCAACCCTGAGATCAGTCTATCACGGGGTTCTCTTGGTAAACTTTTACAGAAGGGGTTCATCTTTGCCTTCCTCAGAATATGAGTGAGTATGACTTGTCCAACATCACCTAGTGAGTTTCTGTGGCTGAGCTGGGACTGGAATCCTAATATCCTCTTCCAAACACCCAAACTGGTAGCCACATCATACTGCTGGAGTTACAGCAGAGCTGAAAGTATGTGTGTATGTGAGGGAGGGGGTTAATTTCCACAGGATGTTTACTCCTGCCAAAGGCCCTTGCTTTTGTAACAGAGATGGGAATCATATCTGGCTAGGGTTGCTAATAGTTGCAGTAAATTATATGTCAATGGCTTTAGGAGGGTACAAGAGGGCACATTTCTGAATAGAGTTGAATCTTGGTTATCCGACATAAATGGGCCACCAGAACGTTGGATAAGCAAAAATCTCTGATAATACAGAGGGATTAAGGAAAAGCCTATTAAACCCACTTTCAATGCCCGTTCTTTCTTTCTTTCCCTCCCTCTTCCATAAAGCAAACATTTCAGCTGCTGGCAAGAGGGGGGGGATGGGCTGGGACTGCAGGAAGGGGCGTGAGGCAAGGTTGGGTGCTGAGGTCAAGAGTGCCAGAGAGCAAGACTGGTGTAGCAGCCAGGGCAGTGGGCAGCTCCTCGGGGCTCCCCCTTGACCCGCACAGAGTCCACTTCCACGAAGCCTCGCCTTGACTGAATGCGAGGCCCCAGGGAGGAGAGAGACAGCAAGAAGCGCAGAGTTCAGAGCAGGAGCCAGAGAAGGAAGAGAGGAAGGAAAAGGAGCCTTGTTGCAATTCTCTGAGGAAGAGGAAGAGCCTTGGCACATCAAATAAATAAAGGTTGCTTACCTGTAACCGTATTTCTTCGAGTGTCAGTCCGTGAAATCCGCACCTATGGGTTCTCCCTTGCGCATGTGCAGAAACTCGGAACATTCTAAGTTAAAATGAATTAAAAATGATTATTTTGAGCCCCATAGGCTCCGCCCATCTCCCCGCCCCCCGGATATATGCGCCGAGCGTCGCCGCCATTATTTAGTTCCTAGCGCTAAACAGCGGCCAGGAGAATGGCATGACAGAGGGGAGGACGGGCGGGTCGTGCGGATTTCACGGACTGACACTCGAAGAAATACGGTTACAGGTAAGCAACCTTTATTTATTCTTCGTGTCGTCCGTGAAATGCGCACCTATGGGTGAATAGCAAGCTACTGACCTGGAGATGGGTCATGCCACACAGGAGAAAAGAACTGCTCTGCCGAAACTGGCATCTTTCTTTGCTTGTATGTCAAGTTTGTAGTGGGAAGCAAACGTGGACGGTGTAGCCCACGTAGCTGCTTTGCAAATTTGGTCCAAGGGGACTCCCTTGAGAAAAGCTTGAGATGTGGACACAGAGCGTGTTGAATGTCCCACAAGGTGGGATGGAGGGTCTTTGCCTGCGAGTTGGTAGGCTAGACGGATTGTCGCAACAATCCAGGAGGTTAGTCCTTGGGAGGACATAGGTTGGCCAAGTACGTCTTTCCTGTATTTCAAAAACAATCTAGGAGACTTCCTATAGGCGGAAGTTCTATGTAAGTAAAAGGAGAGTGCTCTCTTAACATCAAGGGAGTGCAGAACTACCTCCAACTGGGAGGATGGGTTGGGGAAAAAATTCGGTAGAACAATGTCTTGAGACATATGAAAATGGGAGACCACCTTAGGGAGGAACGTGACATCGGTGCGGAGGACGACCTTGTCCGGGTGGAATCTAACATAGGGGGGGTCTGAGCGGAGGGCTGCGAGTTCGCTGGCTCTCCTGGCTGAGGTAATGGCCACAAGGAAGGCCGTCTTCCACGATAGGTGGGAGATATCATTACAGGCCATAGGTTCAAACGGTGGTTTGGATAACTGGGATAACACTAACTCCAGGCTCCACTGGGGGGGAGGGGGGGAGACGGGAGGGTGGATGTTTTTGTAGCCCTTGAGAAATAATTGTACCAAATGGTCCTGAAAAAGGGACGGCAAACCGGACTTTCTTCGGTAAAAGGAAATTGCTGCCAGGTAGCATTTCACCGAAGAAAGGGAGAAACCTTTATTGGAGAGA